CCTCTCCCTCTGGAGCTTGAGAACTTGCACTCAGCCTTCTGACCAGGCTGATGCTGACAAGACTGTGAGCTGACACGACATCCAAGAATCTCTGCACGATTGCAAAATGGAAAAGGTGAGTGTTGTGGCTTGAACCAACAAGCAAGGCTTCAGAGAGTCTGGAGGGTGGGTGTGGGGTGCCTTAGCTCTTGCTGCCGACCACCAACCACATTTCCCCTTGGACCAGGAGAGCGGCATGGACAGACAGAACCCGCTCAGTCTCGTGGACCTGGCCACCCAGAGCCTTTTAGAGCATGAAGCCGTTGCCATGGATGCCCTGCAGTCACTTCTCAGGGAATGCTTTCCACCCCTGTTCGTGTTGGCAGTTGCGAGGAGACACTGCAGGACGGTCCAGGCGATGGTAGAGGCCTGGCCATTCCCCTACCTCCCCCTGGGGGTTCTGCTGGAAGCTCCGCAGGGTAATCAGGACATCTTGAAGGCGGCCCTCAATGGCATTGATTTGCTGCTTGCCCGTGACTTTCAACCTACACGTTGGAAACTCCAAGTGCTGGACCTCAGAAGCGACGCTGAGACCAACTTCTGGCACGTGTGGGCTGGGCTCGGGGACGGAGTCTCAGTGAGCCCTCACGGGAGAGTGGAGCTGCGCAGCCAAGTCCAGAGAGGCGCGGAGTGGGGCCCTCCAGCACATGGGAGAAGCAGCAGTTCGCCTCCGCGGAGGTGCTGGTGCTGCTCCCAGACCTCTGCTTCATGAAGCCCTCTCCAGATGAACTGCTCACTTTCCTTGTGAAGAGGGTCATACAGAACAAACTTATCCCCCGACTGTGCTGTAGGAAACTGGAAATTCTTGATGAGCCTCTGGAAAACTCTATTATGCATAGGATCTTGGAAAAGGTCGAGCTGCCTCGTGTGGAGCAGGTAAAAGTGAACTGTGAGCGGAATTTGGTTGACCTGGTCTCGTTTGTTCCCTTTCTGGGTCAGATGATTCATCTGAATAGACTGTTTCTCAGTGGTGTTCAGGTTCATGCCTCGATCTCCTCAGGAACGGTAAACACTCTTTGGGCCAAATTCACCACCCAGTTGTCTAAACTGCAACAACTTCAGCATCTCCACCTCGACTCCATGCACTTTCCGGCAGGTCGCCTAACCCAGATGTTCAAGTACCTACAAGCTCCCTTGG